GTTTTGATCTTCTCATCCACCTTCACACTCATTTATTTACTTCCAGTCTTTTCTTTTTCAAGACTCATCCTAAAATGACTTTATTCCTGCTGCTTCATACCAGATATTTAGATTTTTGTCTGAGAAGCAGTGAAAAGCAAAAGTTGGGACAAAAGAGAACAAAAATAGATTGTTTTAAATATTTTTTGGAACTTAAGTCCACTTAGATATTAATCGTCCATGGTAACCATATGCCAAGTTTTATTCTTCAATATCTAAAAATCTCCCGCTGAGAATATTATGGCCAAACCCATCAGACCATGAGCTCCTGGCGAAAATTATCACTTTATTTTTATAAGGAATATTTTATTATTACCACTTAGGATAATTTTCCAGAGCATAAGTGAAAATCAGTTTAATAGTGAATTAATTCTCTACCTATGTTCCAAGGTCTTCACTCTGTTCCATTCTACCTGACAACTCTACAATTTGTCTTCTATCTTTTACTAAAATCTGTTCACCCTACTGATTACTCCAAACATGGCCTTGTCACTCCTGTGTCCATGACTTTAAGTTCATCATTTACCCACTAGACACTACATCCGAGCTCTGATCAATTTGCTGTTTGCTTCATGTGTGCACCTTATTTCCCCACCTTAAGAGCCAAAGTACAAAAGTCATGTTTGTAATTTCCTCAATATCCCCTACATGTATGTTATGAAGGCATGAGAGAAAATACTCAATAACTGACAAAACATTGAGTTTATCGATATTGCCAAAATCATATCTGTTATTTTATCTCTCTAGTTCCTTCCAATTCTGAGACTCTGGGAAGTTGGTGCTAAATCTAGTTTATAGAAAGGAATTTTTCTGCTGAGTTTTTTTCCAGAAAGAAAGCTACATAATCAGTTTGAAAACAAAGCATTAATTACATTTTTAAAAGATCTATTCATTCATGGGAAAGAGGAAAAGCAAGTGATTCCAAGTCACAGAGCAATGCTTTTGAAGTTGATACTGGATTTCTGCCACAAATCAGTCAGTTGAAGATAACTGTACATGAATGAGAAGCAATATTGATCTTGGAAGCTAAAATATTTTAATAATTTTCAATGAGAAATCTTTACAAGTACTGATTTAACTACTGGTTCATTATCTTTTCTAATTTTTAGTTGCTAATTGTGGAGAGAATTTATTCATGTCCAGTGCTCCCTTACCATGGTCACATATAATCCAAGTTTTTTATGATGAAGTTAAAAATTTTAAATATGGAGTTGGAGATATTCGAGCAAATTCTAAAACTGGTCATTATACCCAGGTAAAAACATAATGCCAAAACCTTAATGCTTCTCTTTCTTCTATCATCCCAAACTAATCTTTTTCCTCACTTTTTCCTGGAGATGCCACATACATTTGAACTATGGTTATCTGAGTTTGTGTATGAAAACTACCCTGCTTTGTGAAGCATACATTACCCATCAATAGCCACTATTTCTAGGATATTTTCAAACACCTATGTGCTTTTTGTGATTTTGGATTCACCACAATAGAGTCTTTCAAATAATGGCCATAGGAGTAAAGTAATAAAATTATCTCAGTTATATTTAGGCAACATTAAATTATCTTGAAGCAAAGAAACAAAAGCTTTGAGCTATTTTCACTGAGCCAGTCACAGCTTGAAATGCTAAAGAGAAAATGATAATCATGAAGTATGTACTTGTATGCATACAAAGTATTTTTAATAGTATTGAATAAGTAATTTTTGTATTTTTGTGACACTTTTTTGTGAAAATTGATATATCTGCAGAAAGGCACAAGGTTGACATGATTTCTTATTGTTTTTCCCTACAAAACTTGAATTGCAGTTTGCTACTTTTCCTGGTGGCCTGATACCCAGTTGCCCACTTCTTTACTAATCACAGGGTGGTTCAACAGTTTTAACAAATGTATCATGGATGTATAAATCTTCCTGTAACTTTAAATGAGGCTCTATAATTGAAAGGAATTTTTTTAAAAGAGTAATCATCCAGTTTTAGATGGAAATGTTGGAAATTGGAAGCCAATATTTTTCAGCTTTTAAAATTCTCTTCATTGATAACTTTTAATCAGCAATTAAGAAACAAAATGTCATATAATGTGAACACTATCAATTTAATCTAAATGTTTTTATTTTAAACTTTTCTCCTGCAGCTTGTTTGGGCCACTTCCCACGAGATTGGTTGTGCCTTAGCCCACTGTCCTCACAAGCGCCTCTCCTATTTCTACGTTTGTCATTATTGCCCAGAGTAAGTACTGCACAGAGGATCTTTTTTGGCCTATGGTAGGTCAATGGTCTGCACTTGGGCTATGAACCAACTCCTTTTGTCAATCTGAGCTTATAAGGTAGCTACATAAAGACATTGAGCATGGATTTGGAAGAAAGGGGAGCATTGGAAAAGACAAGAAACAAGCAGTATGTTTTAAGGGGTGATAAAACCAGGGAGCTGATGGCATCATGCATACAGCATGGGCTCTGTGGACCATCAGACTCAAGGACAAACATTAGCATGGTTACTTGCTAGCTGTGTGGGCTTCAGTTCACCAAAAACTTAATAACCTGGAGTTACTTTCCACTTAGCTATAAAGAGGCAGTAGCAATGTATCCAGGGATTTTTATTAGGATTAAATATGATAAGTCATAATAAGTGCCTGGCATAGTTGACATTAATAAATTTGCAATGAAAGAAAAATCATCTAATAAAGAAGCAAGACATATTTGCTTCGATTCTTAGGAACTTCACTGTAAATTTGTCCTCTGTTTGTATGCCCTTTGTCTATTGGAAAGGTGGTCCAATTCTGACTCACTCTTTTCTTCTACATATATTTAAATCCTGAATAATTTATCTTCAATTTATTTTTATGGCTCCTGCCTTCAGAAATCTTTCTCTTCCTTTTGTGAGTTCCTGTGACTGTTGTGTAGTTCACACATGGTAAAATCTCGAATTCCTTAATGTTGTCACTAATCCATTCCTCCAAATATTTCTTTGCCAGGGGAAACAATATAAATACAAAGAAGACCCCATATAAAAAAGGAAAACCATGTGGGGACTGCCCTAATCACTGTGATAATGGGCTTTGCAGTAAGTCATTTATGTTCTGTATCAAATGATGTTTCCATGTACTCTGATCTTATATGGAAGACAGGTTGAGATTTCACCCTGATACCAGCATGTCCCCATCCTGCTTCTGGGCCCTCCTTTTCCTACTTCAGTCCTTCTGCTCTTGATAACAAAACAGAATTAAAAGTTCTGGTGGTAAGTGCAGCTGCTATTTCAGGATGACACTAACTGAAGTAAGATAAAAATAGTCATGCAGGCCTGGCATAGTGGTGAACACCTCTAATCCCAGTGGTTGGGGAGGCTGAAACAAGAGGATGGTGAATTCAGAGCCAGCCTCAGTAACTAAGCCCTAAGCAACTCAGTGAGACCCTGTTTCTAAATAAAATATAAAAAAAGGCTGGGGATGTGACTTAGTATTTAAGCGCCCCAGGTTCAATCCCTGTACAAAAAAAAATAGTAATGCAAAACAAATTTAAGCCATGCCAAAGTGGAGTTGAATTTTCCATTTAGCTCCCTTTAGAATCTTCAACTTGTCTTTAGTTAAGGAAGGGAAAAACAGATGTTTAGAAACTAACTGACTATAAAAAGTTAGGTAGAGTCAGGCTCAATTTGCTCCTACCCTTAATAAAAATCAGGAAATATAGGAAAAGAAAAAAATGGTTCCTCTCTAGCAACCATACATCATGGGAATCAGGCACCTGAAAAAGAATACTGGTCTATTTTAAACACATATGTTGAAGGTTCCAGCAAGTTTTCTACTACTCCCCAAAAACTGCATACACACACACACACACACACACACACACACACACACACACACAGCAGAATCACTGCTAGTCTGGGCTACTTTTCTTTTGTTTGGTTGCTACTCCACACCTGTGTGTTGTTGCCTGAAACATGAGCTGCTTTTATGCTCCTACTTACAACCCTTGCTCTTTTCTATCATTTCTCTGTTGTACAAAATTATAAAACAACACACATACACTCACACATGCATGTGCTGGGCTAATATATTGAGAAATAAATTTATTTCTGTTACTGTACACTTTATTCAAACAGTGTAGAAAATTTCTTTGTTTTCTTAAAGCTCTATGTTTTGAGAATTCTATATTTGCTACATCATGTATGTCTATTAAAATAATGTAAGCCTGTTTTCCCTTATTTATATAAGGAGAATTAAAGAAATGAACAATTACAGAAAAAGTGGGCTTTTCTTGAGATGATACAGTTTGGGGAAAGTAATACTATAGACTAAGAAACACCATTTTGTCTTTTGTTTCATTTTAGCCAATCCCAGCAAGTATATTGGTAGGTTCTTCAAGTGTGCGATTTAGTCAAAGAATTCAGGTGTGATATAAACATCACAAAAGAAAACTGCAAAGCTACCTGCAGATGCTCTTCTGAGATAAAATAATAACATGGCAACATTTCTTCTCAAGATTAAATTGACTCCAATTAAATCACTGCAAAATGCCATTGTCTTTTTCTTAATGAGTATAGTTTTGAAGCTGTGTTTTATACAATACATCCTAATACCTTCACCCATTGTATTTGTTAATACAAGAATAAGGAAAAATTGGTGATGAGAACAATAAATTCAAAAACTGAATAACAGATAAAAATATAATGCTGAATCTAATAATCTTTATTATAATTGGTAAGACATGTTTACAGCTTTGTGTAATTCACAAATAAATGTGTTCAAAACATTTAAAACCTAGGGCTCAGAAATCTTTTCCTATTCTAAGCATTAAAAACTGCATTGGACCAGGTATGGTGGTGCACACCTGTAATCCCAGCAGGTCTGGAGGCTAAGGCAGGAGGAGAGCAAGTTCAAAGCCAGCCTCAGCAACATAGGGAAGCCCTAAGCAACTTAGTGATTCCCTGTCTTTAAATTAAAAAAATAAAAAAGTTTGTGGATGTTGCTCAGTGGTTAAGCACTCTGGGTTCAATCTCTAATAGAAAAGTGAAAGAAAGAAAGAAAGAGAGAGAGAGAGAGAGAGAGAGAGAGAGAGAGAGAGAGAGAGAGAGAGAGAGAGAGGGAGGAAGGAAGGGAAAAAATTTTCATTGGTAATGGTGTGCACCTGGATAGCTCTTTTCTGACTGGAATGAATAGTTCAAAGATGACACAGAAATACTGCAATAAAGTTGGGTTTCCTTGATCTGAATGGAAATCAAAAATACATATCTATGACTTTGAGCAGAAATGTGGAAGAAGTTACTAAAAGGATGATTCACAAACACCCAGTTACAAGACCTAATTCCATTTATATATTTAGAATCAACAATTGAGGGGAAGTCCATGTCCTGAGAAAAAGCTCCAACAATATACTCATGGATATATTTCTTCAAGTTTTCCTCAGAGGAACCCAGGGCCACTTGCAAATGTGACTGACAATGGAATATGGGGAAAACATTTGGTTTTCCTTATTGGATATTCATTTAAAACTGATATTGTTCTTCAAAGACCTGAACTACCAACAAGTACCTGGGTCAGAGTGGAACTGATGATGGTCAAGACAATGAAGTTTTACCTTGTGCATCCCATCCCAGATCACCTCCCAAAGGGAATGCAGCCTGATCCCAAAGTATTCTGTCACGAGCCGAGCATGGGCTGTGTGTGGACTGTTGCACACAGTAGCCTCCTGAGGGAACAAGTCTGGCATTGGGAACTCCCTGTGGCACCCCCAAAGGGATTGACTGCTGATGCAGGTGAACTTCCCCCTCAGGCCCTGTCAAAGATCCCACACAGCACCTGAGATGGGTGTGACCTGCCAAGATGTCAACCAATCTGCTGACTGCAAGAAATCATGATCAAGTCTCTGCCCTTGAAACCTTACCCCTGCCTTTGATGTACCCCCTTAAATAAACCATCCGAGGCATCTTTCATTTACCTAGTTCCAGGACCCATGGAGACTAGATCTATCAGGGGCTTTGCTTTCTGTAAATATATTTCAGAGTAACTGTGCTTTATTATTTACTAATTATTTGAGATTATAAATTTTAGGGTGGCTTGGATTATCCTGGGCAGGAATAACCCTTTAATGAGACGATGATCTTCATCCCCCTTCATACTATCCAGTAGAAATAAATATACTTAGAAATTACCAGACTCCCCACACTAGATGTCTGACCTGAAAATTAAGAGTTCCATGATATAAAGGGCCAAGTGCAAGCCACTGAAACTACCCATTTATTCCTACCACGATGGCAAATCAAAACTAAATTCACACTGGATGCAGTGGCACAGCCTGCAATCCCAGGCACCCAGAAGGGTAAGGCAAAAGAATCAAAAGTCTTAGGCAACCTGAGAACTTAGGAAGACTCTATATCTCAAAATAAAAAAAAAAATTGTAAAATGGCTGATGGAATTCAATAATAGAGTATTCCTGTGTTCAATCCTTACTATAGGAAAAAAAGAAAAATTTACATGTCTTAGGTGTTACAGGAATTTGTGTTGTAATCAAGACATAAAACTTCAGGGGTGATAATTGTGACCCATCACAATTTCATGTGTCCATTTAACTAGTGAAACATCAAGATGGTTTACAGAAAATAATTAAATACTCTCACAAACTTTATCATATGATGGTGCTACCTACAACTGTAATTTTTTATATCATATCTTCACTAGAGTAAACCAATATATTCCCTAGCACCAGGAATATGAATGTATCTATTGACTTAAAATTATTATAAGCAAGGTTATCAGAAGCCTACTCTCCCCTCAGTGCCTCTACTAGCATCACCTTTTCTGGATTCACAATACCTTATTTATGCACATGGTATGCCACATAATTTTTAATGGCTTTAATGAAAAGAATAAGATTTTGTGCACAATAGACATGATATACAAATGAATATAATAAACACCCATATATCCACCTGCCAAATTAAATAAAATATTATTGAAACTACATATAAAACTTGCTTATTCCTCTTACCGCTGTCTTGAACTTATTGCATATCATACCCATGAGCATCAATATAGTTTTTCCACATGTATTCTTGCACATACTTAGCATTATTTTTCATATTTTCATACATGATATAAATTCTAGCATCACTATACATACCATCAACTTGAATTTTATCTTATAGTTGTAGGGATTCTGTGTTTGGGATTGGAGTCTCTGATGACTTCATGACTATGGCATACTTGGTGGCTAGGAAGTTTCTGTGCAAAGACAC